TCAGTGTTGTTCTGTGCACTTGCAGGTTGTAAAAGCATTCGTGATTTTAGCTCCACATTTCGATGGACATAGAGATGAYCTGGTGCTTGAGTTRCARGAACACGTTAAAATGACAACAGCACCWTATAAGTACCCAAGAAAGGTAACTATGACAACAACGATATCATCATCATATCATCAGTACGTCATTATGCTAACACATACAAAAGTAAAAATATGAACAATATGAAATTATGAACTCTTCAACATGAAATAAAAAGCGGTAGCGCTCGAAGTGGCCCTCATAACCTCCTTCCCCCTTTTTTTGGGGTTGGTGGGGATATTTTTGGAGAAGGGGGATCAGAGCAATGAAACAAAGAAACGATTACGCCTTGCAAGGTCATTTCAATATAGCTATGACAGTTGTCGTTTTATAACAATATTATTTTCCTGATTAATAGATCGAGTTCGTTGACCATTTACCCAAGACGGTTAGTGGAAAGATCAAAAGAAAAGACCTAAGAGCCCTGGAATGGGAYAAGGAGGTATCCGAAGAATGACCTCCGTGAGCCCCGCCTTGTATCTCGATATAACCAGAAGTCAAAGAATAAACAATTGGGATAATGTTATACCTTRCAGAAAGAATCCAATTCAGTCCATTTGTTTCTTTCGCCGGCAAATCATTCCATAATCTTTTCAGTCTTCTGTACAAGATGATTAACAATAAAGTAGTTTTGAGTACAAGAATTGTCACATGTGAAAGTAGAAACAGCAGGCAATTTGCCAATTACACGATCAACCTTTGACCGATCACGAGGATTAAACGGATGGCCGCATGTGGACGTAGTGTCTTTTGAGTTGGACGTTGATCATACAGACAGGATATGGTCAAGGTCGACACTGAGACGCTTGTCTCTAAGTAAAATGTCATAGATAAGTACCATTACCACTACCCCGGGGGCTAAAAAATCAGTATACCCTGCTCCAGAGTAAAATCACCGAAACCATACCCTGTTCCAGCATCGATAATTCCGGAATTAAACCCTGACCTTGTTCCAGAGTAAAATCGTTGAAATCCGATACCCTGTTCCAGAGTAAAATCACTGAAAACGATACCCTGGTTGGCGGCACCGTACCCGTATAGCGAATATGGGGGAGTACCCACCCCGGGCTACGGCATTTTTATAGGTGACGGATATCGTTGTTTATCCGCTGTCATGAGCGTTTCCTTCAGGCACTCTAATAGTCCCACTCCCCTTCATCAAACTCTGATCAACAAGAGTAATGGTGGCTGCTAGCTGTAAACTAGTGTGAGCTGCGTCGGAGTTTCTAAAGAGACAGTTGTGTAAAAAAATAAATTTGAAAAAAAGATAAAGATAAATAAACACCGTAAAAGTAGGTGAAACAACTTACTGACGTTTCGGACGTTAATCTTCATCGGAGTAAAGAGCAAAGGATCCAAAACGTCAGTAAGTTGTTTCACCTACAGTTTTTACGGTGTTAAATTTATCTTTTAACGCTACTGTTTCTTTAGAAACACCGACGCAGCTCACACTAGTTTACCGTTAGTTTCCAACTTTTTAAAAACGTGGATAATGTTCGCTGTGAAGAAAATATATACAAATGTAGCCAGGGCTACTGTGGTGGAACAAATATATGTTTAAGAATCCAATCTCTTTCGCTGTACTACAGCTTCGTCAAGGAATACATGAAAATGTTCGCTGTGTTTCTGTAGAGCTCGATGGTACCCACACATCCTAAGCCATGCTTGTTTTTTGTGCTCTCATGCCTGATGCTCCTTGACCTTGTAGAGAGTTATTTCTGAATTGTTCTGTCGATATTTTCTATGTCGCCGTCATGCAGCAGTGAACTTTCATCTTTTATTTTCTACAGTCTCAAGAATACGTTGATCATTCTTACAGGCATGATATAAATAGAAAAGAAGTCTGCAGTGACGGGCATTTGACTCAGGGGTTACTGTGGAGTCCACCAACTAAAATATTATTTATATTATTATAAACATTTGTCCTGAGCTCCCTGGTTCAAAGTCTGATCATGCAGGAAGCTCATGGCTGGTTACAAATGCACAGCATGCATGGCGCCCTAAATTGATCAAAAAATTTGACTGGCTTGATCTCTTGAAAATAGAGTCAAATTACTTTAATTTGATACACTCAAATTGCGTGTTGTTGACCTCTGGTCCTCTTCTTAAATTTCAGATATTTACTGGTTTATGTTTTACACTCGGAAAGGTTTCGGAGACTTTTCAGAACTAGCACTTTTTGTACAGTAAAGCCCTATGTATTATAACCTTATTTAAGAACCTTGTCAAGCTGAAATTTTCATTTTTAGCTCCCTTGAAATATGAACGTCCATTTCAGCCTGAAAGATAAGCTCCACTTAACTTAACCTACACCTAGCCTGGCTATATTTCAAGTCAGGCACCATTCATTGTCAGACCGGCTCTCGTTTTTTTGCACTCCGTTTTTTCTCCCTCCGTTTTTTCTCCCATAGTGCCTGATAGTCGGGTTATTAGTAACCTATTCAGGTTGACTAGGAAAAATCTATTTGCGTAATTTTACTGTTAGTTCCAGTAGCTTGACTTACCAAGTGCTCATATCGCTGCGATGGTAATTGTCAGAAAATTTATAAACCCTGCGTCATTTTCAATGTTAGTTGTCTGTATATGTAATGGCATTCCTTTCTTTTGTAATTGTTGATTTATTTATATAGTTAACTATTAACCATTTTCGACCACTGAAGTTCCGCGTCGTAAAGGTCAACTTCAAACGTGTCATATGTTTGCTACTGAAGTATCTTATGTTTCATGGACTGTTTTGCATGGAGAYTTTAAAAGGGCAGAGGTTGGAAGTCTTGAATCTCTACTAAGAAGCGTTTACCAATTCYACGAGCTGKTTATCTCTGCTGTTGCAACATTCTTGCCATAGAAGATGTGGTACCCAGCAGAAAASCGACARAATAATATGGCARTGGCTAGACAACAAATGCCAGGCATGTGTWTGCCAGTAAACCAGMATCCTCAAGGTAACATGAATCTGTTAGATTAGAAATTACTTGCCGAATCTTTAGGAAATCATAAATTCAATCGCTCTGGATTGAACACAGATTTAGTAGTGCTAATTTCTTCCCAAGCAGTTTCACATCCAAGAGCAATGATGACTAAAGCGCTTGTGGAAATATACATTTGAAACTTTGAGGTGATAAAAGTAACATTGATTTATTGAGAATTGAATATAACAAGATCGATTTATCCATGAATTTGAATGGCTGTCGATAGTTGTGCCCAAGTAAGGGGGTATATATATAGCCAGCACTTGTTTATATTTCTTGGCTTTGAAACAACTCGTCGCTCATCCACGCTTATTGAACCGAGTACTCCAAATGTGCTTTCGGAACCTGAGCTCGGCCACAAATCAGAACTTATTTAGTTATTCAATGGTATTAGAAATCTGTTTTCATAAGTATAAAAGACTGCATGATCGGTTGGCTATGTGACCGCAGCCATGTGCTCCAATGCCTAACCTTTTGACCTCGCCAAAATCAACATAAGAAAACCGATCCCAACCAACAACAACGTCAGGTTTATAGATTTAGTGCTTTTTCTTTAAACAAGTAACTAGAACTAGGACATTTTCCTTTGACTGCCTGGGCGAAAGTGGTTATTGATTTCCACAAATAATGATAAATAGATTATCCACTCATATTGTACAGCGGTTATTTCATGACGATTGTGCGTGGTCGGGTGGTTTTTTCGCGGGCTAATGTTGAATCTTCAGGGACATGTGGAAAAGACTCGAATATTGAGTTAATTTGTAAGTTTTCTTGAATTTTATCGCTGTTTGTTTGTATTGAAGCAAGTAAGTAAGAGTTAGTGAAGGTTTTTAATGCAATCGGCTGTTAATTTGGTTGACTACAAGTCCAGTTACGAACGAGACGATGTCTTGTTGTATTGAACGAACTTGAACTCGTTAACTGGCGGCTTAAATTTGATTCAAAACTTACCCGATTCCCGCCTGAATACCAAATTGCTTTTTCAAATTGATAATATTTAAGAGGAGAGGTGGGTTGATGTTGTCGCGACCTGTAGAACAAAGCGTGAATCAATGCGAAGGACGCGTACGTTAAACTTAACTTCAATTTATATGGCAAAACAAAGCCAATAACTTAAGCTTTTCCAAAATCATGTCAAGTATTCCGATGTTCCTTTGCAATAACTATCAGTTTGGTTAGCGAATTGAATATTTAGCCGGAATTAAGTTTTAAACTACATTTATTGTTCTTGGGCCGCCATGCTTCTTCATGGCCTCCAGTCAGCAAAATGACAATTGGTAATATAATATAAACCCTTCTTTGACAAAACATCTGGGAAAGCAGCCCTTTGTAAATATAAGTCTTATGTTCCTGTAAAGTGACATTCAACATACATCTGGCAAGGCATTCAGAAGGGAAATTGGGCAAAATAAGTCCACATTCTGCAAATATTTGAAAAGAATTATGTCATGCATGGATGATTTTCAAGAATTTTCCTTGGCTGTTTTTCTAAGAACTGCATTTTACAGGTGGCCTTTGACATCTTTGTTCATTCCTTACTGCTATACTTGTATGAAATCTAACATGCCCTTTGTATACAACACAAGGCCATACCTGTAAAAAAATAACAGCTCAGGGATATTTCAATATGGTGTGAATAACATGATTCATGACCTTCTCGACAATGAACGTTGGAGATGTGAGCTTAAAGGTGGTACACATGAGGGAGTTTGATTCCATAATACCCTCCTGCAACATTCTACCAGAGCAAGGCTACCTTGTCTGCACCAATGACGTCAAGAAAAAGAAAATGTTTTGCTCCCAAGTTTTGCTCCATCGTATCAAATTGGTTAAATGAAAAAATAAGCTCCAGTGGCAAATCTCTTGTTGGAGCAAGCTCGCTCATGTGTACAGTACCAGTCTTGAAGCTCTCAAAACATCCTGAATTGAATTTTAAAGTATTAATTTTGACTCTTATCGTTTAGTTTTGAGTTCTGAACTGGGGTATGGATCCTATGTTATTTTATTGTAATGACTATATTGAGTGGTGTAGAGCCTACTCACTTCACCTTCGGTATTTACATCTGAAGCAATCCAGTATTAAGCCTTTTTTATGAGTTTTTTGTTTTAAAGGACCAACTTTAGTTCCTTGCAGTACACCATTGTAAATTAAAAAATGGGATGCCTGTGGAGTAGAACTGTATGGGGGTTATAAGCTAGCTATACCCCTAACTTTACATTTCTCTGTAATATAAGTAGATTTGAACAGTTTCAACATTTTTTTTTGTTTGAATTTAGTAAGATTTTATACAGGTTCTAAGAAAAATAGCATGTAACTTTATTTAACTGGTTATTTTGCATTTTATTGATAAAATATTATGCTAATGAGCAGCTGTCATTTTGCCAAACATTCTGCTGCAGCTGTCATTTTGTCAAACGGTCTGCTGAGAACAAGCCTTATAGAATCCATTCCAAGGGACATTTTCTCTGAGAA